CCCCAATACATTAGAGGGGGTCGAAAGGGCCGACGAGGCGGTCGTAATGACGATGATGACCCCGGAGGAGGTGCACGACCGCCTCAGAAGATTTGAGAATTCGGCCCCAGGGAAGGATGGCATAGATTACAGGTCCTGGAAGAGGGTGGACCCTGAGGCTAAGCTCCTGGCATCAATATTTAACATCTGCCAGAAGCACCGAAGGGTCCCTGAAGAGTGGAAAACATCCAGGACCATATTCCTCCCCAAGGTAAAGTCTCCTACCCAAGTCAAAGACTGGAGACCGATTTCACTCACCAGGACGGTGTACAAGATATACACCGGCGTCCTTGCGGACAGAATATCGTCCTGGTGTAGGACGCATCAGGTCCTGTCTCCCTTCCAGAAGGGGTTCGTGGCGCATGACGGGGTGTTCGAGCATAACTTCGTACTCCGTCAGAGGATGGTGGCTGCCAGAAAAAATAGAGGAGAGCTCTGCACCGCATGGCTGGATATCTCCGATGCGTTTGGGACTATCCCACACGCTTGCATCACCGGAGCACTAGAGAAGAGAGGGGCAGGGTCCGCGCTGGTGGAGACAATAAGAGACCTCTACACGGATGCGTCCACCAGTGTGAGGTCGCCCTCTGGTGAGTCCGATTCCATCAGGATGAAAAGAGGCATAAAACAAGGATGCCCACTGAGTGGACTCCTGTTCATCCTGGGGATCGATCACATAATAAAGAAGCTCAACTCCGGTGAGGAGCATACGGTGCTGGCCTATGCGGACGACATCGCCCTTCTCTCCCCGAATCCGGAGGGCCTCCAGAGATTGATCGACGAAGCAGCGGAGGCCCTGGAAAGGACTGGTCTGCGGGTGAACCCCGCCAAGTGCAAAACTATGCACCTATCAGGAAGAGCGCCGGTGGGGATTCGCGAGACCAGGTTCAAGATTGCGGGGAGGGAGATAGAAACACTGAAGGAAGGCGATGTCCAGAGCTTCCTGGGCAACCCGGTTGGATTCCGGGCGGTGCACCCCAAGGCGGAAATGGAGGAGATAGTGGCCAAGGCGAAGGGTATAATGGGATCTAAGCTGGCCCCATGGCAGAAGATCGACGCCCAGAGGACCTTCGTCTACCCATCGTTAAACTTCCAAATGAGAAATGGCCAGTACCCGAAGGGGGACTGGACCAGGGTGGACGAAGCAGTCAGGGCGGACCTGAAGAGAGTGCTCAACCTGCCAGCAGAGGCATCCAATGAGTACCTCTATGGGGCCAGGGCCGAGGGCCTGTGTGGCATACCGATCGCTGCGGAGGAGAGCGATCTGGCACTGATTGACGGAGCTTTCAAGCTACTAACATCCAACGATGAGAAGCTCCGTCAAATGGCTAGCTTGGACCTCTTTAAGTCAGCCGCAGAAAGAGCTAGACCCGGTCACCAACCCGATCCACAATCATTTCTGTCTGGGTTGGTGACAGAGGGAATGCGGGAGAGGTCGAGCCAAGTGTCAGATTGCTGGACGAGAGGAAGACAGGCCTCCCAGCGTATGGGCGTCCAATGGAACATCCAGGAGGACGTCCCGTCGATATAATACGGAGATGCCACTGTGAGGGCCCACGACAGGCACAAATTGATAAGGACCCTTCGCCAAAAGAAGCAGATGGAAAGGGGAGAGGCACTCCGACAAAAAGCAGTACAAGGAAGAGTCGCGGAGTGCCTAAGGGATTCCCCGGATTCCAGCCACTTCCTCCAGACCGGCGAGTTCTTGTCCTTCGCCGACTGGCGGTTCATCCATAGGGCCAGACTTCAGCTGGTCCCCCTGAATGGACATCGGAGATATGGGGGTGACCAGGAGAAGAGCTGCAGGCGGTGCGCGTTTGCGAATGAGTGCCTCGCTCATGTCCTTGGTCAATGCAACGTGCACGCGGTTCTTCGCCAGAAAAGGCATGATGCCATCGTTGGCAGACTTGAGGCGACGGCGAGGAACCGAGGATACGGGGTCGTTGGGAAGAACCAACCGGTTGACGACTCCGGCCTGCGACCAGACCTTGTGGTGGCAAAGGGGGACGCGGCAATGATCATAGATGTAACCGTCCCCTTTGAGAACCGCAAAGAGGCACTCGACTCGGCGAGGACAAGGAAAGAAGAGAAATACGCCGCCCTAAAGGCCTCCTTGCGTGTCAGGTACAGGGAGGTGAAGATAGCCCCTATAATCGTGGGCGCCCTGGGAACGTGGGACCACAACAATGATAAGTACCTGAAAGGGATCACTACCGGGGCGTACCTGAAGAAGATGAGGAGGCTGGTGACTTGCGAGACAATAGCCTGGTCCCGATGCATGTATATGGAACACCTGTCAGGCCGGATTCAGCGTCCTTATCGGTGGTACCGGCCCGAAGCGGGCTAGGAGCAAGAGGTAGCAGCGCCAGCCGAACCACGGCTATTGGGTGAAGAGGATACAGGGCGAGCGTCGCCGGAGCCGTCCACTTCAGGGGATCGACCCGGAGGAGTGGAAGGGGAAGCGTCGAGCCACTGATCGGTTGTGCCGGGAGGTGAAGAAGTGCTCATACAGTGCAGTGCGGTGTTCCAAGGAAACGGAAGACTACTGAAGGGAGAAAAAAAAAAAAAAAATTGTATTGTTATTGAATACTGTAACTGTATTGTAGATTTTTGAGATTGTGTGTATAAATTGATTGTATCTGAATACTGTTGAAAAATAAATCTTTTTTATCTGTTCTTATCAGCTTAATCTCTGGTACGACCCTCATTGAGGGTCCAGAAGATTAAACTGATTTTTGGAAAATGACGGAGTGCTAGGGGCTTGCTCCACCTCTGTCGCGGATTGACCCGGTATTGCAGTACTGCTGGGATCGGCCCATTTAACATTGAATCACTTACAATTCGTCTAACCCCTCGTTCCTTTCCTGCAACTTATTATCACCCTATTGAATTCTAACTTCAGGTTTATTCCTATGCCTTCAAAATGAAATTCATTTTCCCCCACTTTCCATGTGAGAGTATAATATACAGGGTGTCGCCTAAGTAGAGGGAAATATTTAAAAGATTGATAGTAGACATGAAGAGCTACAAAAAAAGTTGATATAAACAATTGCCAGCAGATAGGTAGGAAATTTAAGATTTTTTTTTTTTTTTTCGAGCGAGTAGCGTATTTTGTTGAATAGGAAGAATAAATTCATATATTTTCGAGTCTGTGCAAAAAACAGAAAGGAAATTAAACCATTGTGATTAGTTTAGTCTAGTTATTCTTAAATGGTTCTCATCTCAAGGAGCTTCACCCATGTAAAAGGACTTCCGCGTCCTCTCCGGATTAGAAAGCTGCTAGGGATGATAACAAATCTTTTCTATAAAATCTTCCAAATTTTCAAGGGCATTTTTAATTCATTAATAATTGGGAGGAAATAACTTTATTGAACCCTTTCACCTCCTTTCCATGCTTGGATTCATTTTTTTTTTTTTTCGACAACGTTTCAGACAGTTTTGCCCATTTTCAAGTCTAAATCATTATCTATTATATTACAATACATTAATCACAAATATATATATATATATATATATATATATATATATATATATATATGTAAAATATGTTACGGCACATACAATAACACTATAAAATTCCAAAAAGTCAACTTAATGAATATAATCTCTACTTTCGTAATTATCTTATCCTCTATGTTTTACTATTATTTATATAGTCGTCATAAAATCTTTCTTCATTCTTATCCTCACATTCCTCTAATATTAATTTCATAACTATTTATGAACAGTCAATTCTAAAATAAAAATAAAAATGCTGAAACTTCCGATACACCTCAAATAAGAAAAGGGCAAACCACGAATTTTTCAACAATTTACCATACTATTTTATAATTTCCATCAAATGCCATACATTTCCGTCCTATATGTAATAGCCTTATGTCTAGTATGAGCTGTGGGTTTTGCATATTATTATGCTCTTCGGGATTAAGAGTACTGCATTATTTTAATGCTTTAAGTTTCATAGTGGTTTGAACCTTAAATGCGCCATCAATAAGTGAAAGATCGCTCTCTTCAGCAGCTATGGGAAAAAACACAGAGTCACTCACATCTAGATCCGTAATATATTCGTTGGCAGCTACTTGGGGAACTTTTAGTGTCTTCTTGATCTCTGCCCTTAGAATTTCATCTACTCGAGACCAGTAATTTTTTAGAAACTTTCCACTTCTCATAGGGAAGTTCAAGGCTGGATACACGAAGGTTCTAAGAGCGTCCAGGCGTTGCCAGGGGAACAATTTAGAAGATAGGATTTTCAAGGCCCGGGACACGATGTCTTCTATGGTTGTTTGAGCCGGAATAGCTCTAAATCCGATAGGGTTACCTAAAAATAAATGCGTTTCTTCCAACCTTCAGAGACCGCAACTTGACCCCATTTAGATCGAAAGTTGTATTACGAACTCCTATCGGTAACTTCCCGGATATACGGAACGTCATACATTTACCAGGACTCAAACGCATATTAATTTTCCACAATGCGTCTGCTGCCTCATTAATAAGTTCCTGAAGATTTTCCGGACTACCTGACTGGATACAAATGTCATCGGCCTAAGCGAGCACATTATGATGATCCCCAGAGTCCAAATGCTCAATCGCATGATTAATCCCAAGAATAAAAAGCAAGCCACTGAGGGGACAGCCTTGTCCGGAAGCTCTAATTGGTTTTGATACTCCACAGGAGGTACAGATCCTCGTAGCCGAGTCTGTATATATGTCTTTAATGAGTTCGACAATGAGCTGTCCGGCTCCTCAACGTCGTAACGTTTCAGTCACTAGAGCATGTTCCATGGAAAGGGGAAACTGTACTGAAAAAGAGAAAAATTTATATTGTTATTCAATACTATAATTGTACTATGGATTGTTGAGATTTTGTATATAAATGAAATGTATCTAAATAATATTGAAAATAAATCTTTTTAATCTGTTAATAGTAATGTTTATTTGCTTTCTTAAGGAATGGGACCACATTAAAGTGTGTGACCACATATTGCCCGAATATGTGTGATGTCTTGGAAGGAGGATAAGAACATCTTGTTCATTAATAATCCATCTCCTCTTAGGTGTGATTTTACAAGAGGCAAATAAGTGATTAACTTGTCTGTGTTAGTGATGTCTGTCTTAAGCTCTGCGTCCATACTAAAGATTACGACCTTAGCATTGGTCCTACTCATAATACAGCCAAGCTTCCCCTGGAATTCTGGAGTGGTTATGTCAGTCTCCCCGAGACAGGTTTCATTAATGGATACCAGCCTCTTATTGAGGTCACACTGGTCCCCTATCAAAGCGGGGGGGCTAATATTAAGTACATTCTCTTTAACTTCCACTATGTCACTCTGAAGTGTGTTGTATATCAGATTAGTTCTGGGGAGCAAGTGTGCTAGGTAATTAAGGATACCCCCTGATCCTTCCGCGAGAGTGACTACAAGCCCTGAGGTATCCTGATCCATTCTGTAAGTGCTGATAACCTGGTGTAGCTTCGATGCAGATGTGCTTATTTTCCCAATGGACCTCGTGCAATGGTGGACCCATTTAACCCATAAGGGGCTTCTGCCTCTTCCCTGTAAGGCAAGCTCCTCCTCAGAGAAAGTGAACGATTGCAATTGAGAGTCGAACGGTATGGCGATTGTGTGCGGCTGTACCTCTCTGATTCTTAGTTGCTCTAACCGCACAGAGAGAGGACATAGGGGAGAGAGGTGTTCACTCTGTTTCCCTTTCAAATCTCTCCATATTGAGATTGAATCAGGTTCCGGGAAGGGGACTGAGAGGAGCAGCCCTCGAGTCTCATCTCTTCCTATTTTCTGGAGCCAATCCGTTACTGAGTTTCCTTCGATAGTGGGTATGGATCTTATCCCCATCATCATTGGTGGTGTTATACTAGGGTCTGTCCTTAGGAGAGGGCACAGAAAGGTTCTCCAATAATAGCCCTGTCTGAAAACAAAATCGGAATTAAATACTGTGAATGCACATGCCCTCCAGAACAATTGTCTGTTCTTGACTACGTATGACTTCACTGCTGATGCAAGACCGGACGCCAACCCTCCAGTCCTAGTTATCGTAGAGTGCTTATCGACTGTCACCCCTAATTGCATAACTACCTCATTAACCCTCTCACTGTTAATAACGAGGTAAGATAAATGCTCGAACAAATGGATTGGATAATCTCCTATAGATCCTTCTACACTCGAGAAGATGCTTGCTAGCCTGCAACATTCCAACCAGGACATAGTCGAGATTGGCACTTCTGAATTCGGACATTAGATTACTACTCGTCCTTTCTGTTGAGTCTTCAGTCTTGACTCCCTTCAGAGATTCAAGTGCACTGTGGACCTCCGATTCGTGCATTCTATAATGAGCCAACTTTCTTCCTATCGAGACAGACATTGCTGCTGTACACATCCTAATACTAGAAGCTATCATGTCCGAACTCAGAGAAGCCTCTGGGAAATTCACCCTAATCTGAGTTAAGAAAGAGGAGCTTGGATTCGATAGTGTTATAGGTTTATTAAGAATTTGATACGTACAGTGAGGGCAATTCAGTGGTATTGCATATGTGTCATAAATTCTCATCTTCCGAATTGCACTCTCCGCAACGTAATTCTGTGTATGTAAGAATATCCCTTGGAAAAAGATGTTGTAGTCCTCGTTACCTCTGAGAGCCTGACCCATTAAGTTAGTGTTTATAGTTACGTGTGTAGCTAAATTCTCTGAGAGTGAGTACAGTGCAGACCTCTTTTGCGAAGATGCTTTGAATCTATGTTCATAACTCCCCCCATAGTTTTTCCCGCACCAGTCGTCGAGTGGAGTGGATTGAAACTCGGGTGGCAAGTACCTTATTTTGTCATCAATCATTGAGCTGATAAGAGTGATCAAATTGCTGGTACTGTCCATCCTCTCGAGGTAGGTCATAATGTAATATAGCTTCATCACCGACTTGACGTGTGGGTTCGGATTTATCACGGTTAGTTTGGGCTTATTCATTTTCTCCGGAGTTGCTGATCCCAGGTAGGGATGGAACGGTCCTCTCCTCATGAATGCTTCGCAGTTGCTGTCACATGTCGTGCGTGCCCTGAGGAGATAGTTCCAACATTAGCCCAGAGGAGGCAGCACAGTCGTGACTGTGTGGTCAGGAACTCTTACATATTGTTTCTATTTGGTGCTTTCTTGTACTTTTAAGTATGTTTGTGTTATTTCAGGAGAGAAAGGATGAAAATAGAGGGATGAAAGTAAAAAAAGTTGTGAAATAGTCGGGCATCTTTGAAGAACCCCAAGTCTGGGCATACCTCTCGACTCCCACCGTCGTTGCTATACTTCAGTAGATTAAATTATCGTTCCCAACAGCTGGTAGCTATCGGTTCTCGGCCTATCGGCTAAGATCAAAGTGTACATTGAAGATCAGAGGTATATAGAAGAACGACCAAAGATCACCACACACCCGTGCTTGGAACACGCGGTGGCTCCGGTGGTGGAAATGGCGGGGACCGTGTTCGAGTGCGTACAGTGCGGAGACCAATTTCCTACGTCCCGGGGGCTGCATAAAACCATGCCACGACGGCGCATGCACCGAGGCCCACAGAACAGGAGGCAGCCGCCGAGCCGGAACCCGGTAGAAGGGTCACCCGCCGAGCCGCCCGAGAGCTAATGAATGATTTCCCCCCTGCTAGGCCGCCGAGCCCTGTCGCGGAAGAAGAAGGCGCTGTGGTGGGAGGAGCCGAAGTCGACAACTACACCGAAGAACCGGCGAACCCTACCGCAGCTGCTGTGCGCCTGGAGGAAGAGGGCAGGCCGGCGAGGTCTGAAGAGGCAGGGGTGATGGAGTCGGGTGGAGCGGGTACTGGTGATCCAAGCGCGGTCATAAGGCGGGCGTCCTCAAGAAGAGGAGGTCCTGAAGAAGAAGAGGAGGACGCCCTGTTAAGAAGCCTAAGGAAGAGCTGGGAGAGGTCTATAGGAAAGATGATCAAATTGCTGGTACTGTCCATCCTCTCGAGGTAGGTCATAATGTGATATAGCTTCATCACCGACTTGACGTGTGGGTTCGGATTTATCACGGTTAGTTTGGGCTTATTCATTTTCTCCGGAGTTGCTGATCCCAGGTAGGGATGGAACGGTCCTCTCTTCATGAATGCTTCGCTTCCGTTGGTTTTTAGGTCGTAAGATGTTTTGACAATAATGCAGTCTACACTGGGCCCCTTTGGTAAAGTGTCATAGTCGATTATCTTTATCTGCTCACAGGGAACTGGGCTGGTTATCCCGGTAATCTCGAATCCTCATGTAGATTCTCTCAAGTAGTTTGCTGCCTTGAAAGTACAAGAGTACTTCTTGTAAGCCTCCTCTAATAAGTGGTTGCTGATTACAGGCTCTTCAGAGCGGAAAAGACGTCTTTGGATCACCTGTACTGATTCTCTATCTTTTTCCTTACCGAGAGTGAAGATAGTTTCGTTCCGGCTTCCATCCTCATTAATCATTCTGTTTATGGTCTGAAGATTGGAAAAGCTTCCGATTAGTTGTAGTTGTACACCCGATCAACACCCCCGTGTACACCCGGTTGTAGTTCCTATCCCATCAGGATGAAAAGAGGCATAAAACAAGGATGCCCACTGAGTGGACTCCTGTTCATCCTGGGGATCGATCACATAATAAAGAAGCTCAACTCCGGTGAGGAGCATACGGTGCTGGCCTATGCGGACGACATCGCCCTTCTCTCCCCGAATCCGGAGGGCCTCCAGAGATTGATCGACGAAGCAGCGGAGGCCCTGGAAAGGACCGGTCTGCGGGTGAACCCCGCCAAGTGCAAAACTATGCACCTATCAGGAAGAGCGCCGGTGGGGATTCGCGAGACCAGGTTCAAGATTGCGGGGAGGGAGATAGAAACACTGAAGGAAGGCGATGTCCAGAGCTTCCTGGGCAACCCGGTTGGATTCCGGGCGGTGCACCCCAAGGCGGAAATGGAGGAGATAGTGGCCAAGGCGAAGGGTATAATGGGATCTAAGCTGGCCCCATGGCAGAAGATCGACGCCCTGAGGACCTTCGTCTACCCATCGTTAAACTTCCAAATGAGAAATGGCCAGTACCCGAAGGGGGACTGGACCAGGGTGGACGAAGCAGTCAGGGCGGACCTGAAGAGAGTGCTCAACCTGCCAGCAGAGGCATCCAATGAGTACCTCTATGGGGCCAGGGCCGAGGGCCTGTGTGGCATACCGATCGCTGCGGAGGAGAGCGATCTGGCACTGATTGACGGAGCTTTCAAGCTACTAACATCCAACGATGAGAAGCTCCGTCAAATGGCTAGATTGGACCTCTTTAAGTCAGCCGTAGAAAGAGCTAGACCCGGTCACCAACCCGATCCACAATCATTTCTGTCTGGGTTGGTGACAGAGAGAATGCGGGAGAGGTCGAGCCAAGTGTCAGATTGCTGGACGAGAGGAAGACAGGCCTCCCAGCGTATGGGCGATTCAGCGTTCCTATCGATGGTACCGGCCCGAAGCGGGCCAGGAGCAAGAGGTAGCAGCGCCAGCCGAACCACGGCTATTGGGTGAAGTGTATACAGGGCGAGCGTCGCCGGAGCCGTCCACTTCAAGAGAACAACCCGGAGGAGTGGAAGGGGAAGCGTCGAGCCACTGATCGGTTAGGCCGGGAGGTCAAGAAGTGTTTATGCAGTGCAGTGCGGTGTTCGAAAGAAGGGGAAAACTGTACTGAAAAAATAAATATATATTGTTATACTCATTGCTATATTTAAAAAGGAAAATGTATTGTTGATAAATTTCATATATATTGAAATGTAGCATAATATTAGTGGAAAATAAATCTTTTTATCTGTTCTTATTAGCCACAGTGGTTTTTAGGACTTTTATATACGTGTGCGGACTCGTCAAGCATGAAGATGTGATGTATAGCGAAGAAATAGGTACCGGAATTGTAATATGGACTTGTAATCGATTAAATGGATTTGAATCGATGTTGTGTATGTAATATTTATTCCAACCTAACCTATCCCTGATCGATCCTTCCCTATCAAGCGAGCTTGGTAAGTATATTAGATGTATCGATTGTTTCTGCTTCTATTAAAGGGGTCATAGACATGTGATGTTAATTATCCCATGTGATTCCTAAAACAATGAAATAATGGAGCTTTTTTGGGCTAGACTCTTCTCTTTCTGTATAGTTTTGGGAATTAATAAGGAAATTAATTGAAATTCTTCAGTATGGACCCCGCAGAAGAAATTAAGTACTTTATTTTAAAGGGAAGTACAATATTTGCATGGCATCCGCTGCCAATTACTACGGGTGGCCAAGCGTATTCTACCTGTCCCGCGAAGGGCTGTGGTAAATCTTATATTAGTAAATCCTCTTCTAGCGGACTGCAGACTCTCCTTCGCCATGTATGCGCTTCACATAAGATCTTGGGTGTTAGGACCACTCACATGTGCAGAATCTGTCGTGAGCAAGTCAGGCATAGTAGGCCATCTGCCCGCTCTTGCATTAAAAATGGGACTCAGCCCGTGGTCGAGACTGATGTGGCTACATGGGAATATGAAAAATGTAAAGAATTATTTACAAGTTCGCAAGGGCTCCAGAACCATGTTATGGTTACCCATGTTCTCATGCCTCGTCGTCGTCAAACAACAGCGGCACTTCCGTTGCCAAATAATGGTCGACCTCGTCGCCACAAAATCGTCTCTACAAACCCGTCTGTTACTGTTCCTGTTGCCGAATCCGTTGGAAATATGTCGCCCGTCCCTTCAACTTCTCTTGCTTCTGGGGATCGGGAACCTCCGTTCGATGTAGAAGAGGAAGTAGAAATTCTGGTTCCTAGTACAGAAGTAGAGTCTAATGAAGGTCTCTCGTTAGTCTCTGGTATGCCGATGGGCGGATTGGGGCCAGCTACTGAAACATCATTGATAGAAGGAGTTGTGGGGAATATTGCTTTTGTTCCTGATAGTATCTTCCCAAAATCAAGATCCGATAGATCATACTACAGGGGGCGTTGATAGATCAGAGGTTCGTGGGAAGACTGCAGTTGCAGAAAAAGGGCCGAAGGGTGCATTAGATGATGAAGACACTATATTAAGTTCGTTTCTCTCCCGTTTTCAGAGTCTTCTAAATGATCCGGCTTCACAAGAAACATGGTGGGAATTTGAAGCGGCTATGAAGGAAATCCCGGATCGGGTTTGTAAGGAATTTGGGCTGGCTAGGCAAGACATGAGTAGGGGGGTTAAGGCGCGTAGATGGGATAAGTCCGATCCGAAACAGCTCCAAGGCTTTATCGCCTTAACAGAAGAAAGGCTATCCGCTTAATACCGGATGTAGACCAGTCCGATTGTGACGTGCCAATGGCTGAATTAGTAGCAAAGGTTCAGGGGACAGACAGTGAAGAACCATGGAACGGTAATGGGTTAGAGGGAATGCGTGCAGCCGAGGGAGAAGTTTCGATGACACCCTTCACTCCGGAGGAGGTAATTTGCCGTCTTCGTCGATTCGAAAACTCATCACCTGGTGAGGATGGAATCGATTATAAATCTTGGAAGAGAGCCGATCCGAAGGGTAGGTTTTTGTTCGTGGTTTATAATACGAATCTTAATCACGGTCGTTTACCACGACATTGGAAAACCTCAAAGATGGTATTCATACCGAAATGCAAAAACCCGGCATCGGTTGTAGATTGGCGGCCAATTAGCCTCACAAGGACGATTTATAAGATCTTTGCAGGGCTTCTAACCGATAGAATAGCGGGCTGGTGCAGGGAGAATAGTATAGTATCGGACAGCCAGAATGGATTTACGGCTCATGATGGCGTCTTCGAGCATAATTATGTTCTGGAGTAGCGAATGTGTTCAGCACGAAAAAGTCAGGGAGAGCTGTGTGTTGCATGGCTTGACATTACCGATGCATTTGGCAGCATAGAGCATTCCCTGGTGACTGAAACGTTGCGACGTAGAGGAGCCGGACAGCTCATTATCGAGCTTATTAAGGACATTTATACGGACTCTGCTACTAGGATCTGTACTCCTTATGGAGTGTCAAAACCGATTAGTGTTTCCAGAGGTGTTAAACAAGGATGTCCCCTTAGTGGTTTGCTCTTCATTCTGGGTGTCAATCAAGTAATTGAGCAACTGGACTCTAGGAATAATCATAATGTACTCGCTCATGCTGATAACATTTGCCTCCTGTCCGATAGCCCAGAAAGCCTCCAAGAACTTATTAATAGGGCAGCAGACGCTTTGGGGAAAATAAATATGAGATTGAATCCTAGTAAATGCATGACGTTTCATATGTCCGGGAAGCTACCGTTAGGAGTTCGAAACACAAGCTTTGAACTGAATGGGGTCAAGCTGCGGTCTCTGAAGGAGGGAGAGACGCATCTGTTCCGGGCCTTAAAAATCCTTTCTTCCAAATTATCCCCATGGCAACGCATGGACGCTCTCAGAACATTCATTTATCCAGCCTTGAACTTCCCTATGAGAAGCGGAAAGTTTCTAAAAAGTGACTGGATTCGAGTAGATGATGTTCTGAGGGCGGAGATCAAAAAGACGCTGAACGTTCCCCAAGAAGCTGCCAATGAATACATTTATGGAGCTAGATGTGTAGGATTGTGTGGTTTTCCCATGGCAGCTGAAGAGAGTGATCTCTCGGTTATTGATAGCGGATTTAAACTTCTGACCTCTAAGGATGAGAAGCTTCGTCAGATGGCCGTTGATGAATTGAATGTGACTGTCGCAGCACGCATGAAGACCAATTGTCAGACAGAAGCAGATGCCTTCCTATCGGGAGTTACTTCTGACAATATGCGCGACAGAGTAGGTCAACAGGTTTCAAATCGATGGACGAAGTGTCGGAATGCTTCTAGGAGGGTTGGGGTAAAATGGGTGTTTGAGGGATGCAAACCCGCAATTGTGATGGGAAATGAGTTGATATATCCCTCAAACCGTAACCAAATCCTGAAGAAGTTGCGCCATAGGTTACAACTGGACAGGGGCACACTGATTCGGCAAAAACCGTCCCAAGGTAGAGTGCCAGACTGCTTACAAGATTCTCCGGATTCCAATCACTTTTTATATACCGGAGAATACTTGTCCTTTGCGGACTGGCGCTTTATTCACAAAGCTCGGTTACAACTCTTACCATTGAATGGTGGAAACAGATGGAGTAATCGGGATAAAAGTTGCCGTAGGTGTGGGTTCGGAAACGAATGTGCAGCCCATGTACTAGGCCATTGTAACGTGCATACAGAAGAGGCACGATTCTATTGTGGGTAGATTGGAGGCTGCAGTGGTTAACAGGGGTTTCAATGTACTTTCTAAGAACCAGGTTGTCGGAAGCACTGGATTGAGGCCCGATCTCGTGCTTTCTAAGGGCGACAGCGCTGTGATAATAGATGTTACCGTCCCCTTTGAAAACCGTAAGAATGCCTTCTTATCTGCAGGAAAATCAAAGAGAAGAAATATGCTTCAATAAATGAGGAGCTGCAGGGAAAATATAAACGTGTAAAAATAGCTCCCATTATTGTCGGGGCATTGGGCACATGGGACCCAAACAACGATAAACACGTAAAAGACTTCGCGTCTAGAAATTTCCTCAGAAAGATGCAGCGTATAATGACGTGCGAAACGATCTCTTGGTCGCGTTGCATGTTCATGGAACACATTTCGGGACGTATTCAGCGACCTGCTAGGTGGGACATGGGCAGGGAAGAAGGGGTTGAAGTGACAGCTGTAGTGTCTTCTTTGGAACACGGACCGGAAGACGTCGTCGGGAGAGAAGAAGATTTTGAAGTGCCAGCAGATCTTTTTGTGGAAGAAGAGCCGGAAGAAGCGGTCGAGGAGCGATCAATTATCGCTGAAAGACAATTTGAAGAATAATTCAATTGTATTGTTGTATATATATTGTTCTATTGTAATATGTAATAATTTTGTATATGTCTTTTGTATTGGAAAAATAAAGCTTTTTATCTGTTCTTATCAGCTTAATCTCTGGTACGACCCTTATTGAGGGTCCAGAAGATTAAACTGATTTTTGGAAAATGACGGAGTGCTAGGGGCTTGCTCCACCTCTGTCGCGGATTGACCCGGTATTGCAGTACTGTTGGGATCGGCCCATTTAACATTGAATCACTTACAATTACCATCCAGCCAAGGTTTATTAACTCATTAATCGAGAGTAACCCGATCGACATCGCTTCTCGGCCTATTGGCTAAGATCAATGTGTAGTAAAGCTGATGTTTCTGTCCCGTATTGTGCTGTAAATCCACCATCCATGTACCAAGAATTATACTCTCCTATTGTTCCATTTATCCAATAGCTCTTAGAGGTAGCCATATTTAGCCCAATCATCTTTTGACACAGATACTCTGTTTTGATGGCTTGAATCAGAGTATTGGCATTTGTAGCATAGATGACAGATAAAGAATCATCACTTGATCTCAAGGTTTTGTATATACAATTTACTAGGTCTTGTCTATACCCAGCTGGAATATAGCTTATGGTTGTAGCTGCTGCATTGTGCATGCCCTTCAGCATTCCCGGCCTTGCTTGCACATATTTCTGATCCATTCTGTCTCTAAGTTTGCGGACCCATTCACTAGTTTTGTGATTAAACCTGTTTATAGGGGTTTGGTGGTAATCCAACTTATTGTATAGGGACTTACCTCTCGACTCCCACCGTCGTTGTTATACTTCATTAGATTAGACTTAGGATAAATTCAATAAGTAAAAAAGAATTTCCTTCATATGTCTGTTTTTAGCAGTAAATCTGTAAATGTATATGTGCAGCATTTATAAATTTAAATTCCTTTGTAAATAAATAAATATTCTCTGTTTTATCTTTTGTTTTTTCTATATTCCTTTGTTAATTAAAAATGTTTTCTTTTTCAAGTTAAATTGGATATTTTTTTTTTTTTTTTAATATTTAATTTGATCTGTATTCATTGGTTGTCTGGACATTGGTTATAGTGAGGTAGGATGACATTCACACCATATGTACAAAAAAATAAAATAAATAGAACAAAATAATAATCAAAAGTATATACAATAGACAATAAAATAAAATAACCTAAAAAATAAGAAAATTAAAACTAAGGAAAAAAAAAAAAAAAACATGCATACCTATATACAATCAGGCGAGGGAACTCCAGGAGAACCCTGCGCTACTCTTCCAACCGCGTCACTGGTACTAAAGCCAGCGGAGATTGGTCGAGAGCACTTTAGCCACATACACACATGTCTTGAGTGAAGAATCTGGCCATTGCCAGAACTCCAATTTATATAATTACAAAAGGTCGCGAGGCCACTGCCGTTTCAACCTTCTTGGAGGATTATAGGGATGGGAGATGCTTGATAGGGATTGTGCAAGAGGATTTGGGTGGTAAGTAAGGTTCTGGTGAAATTTGGAGAACTTTTCTGGGATAAGGTCTAGGACAAATGGGATGTTAAGGTCATGATGTAGGGTTTTGTTGGATACATAGAAAGGAGCATCGACTATTGTTCGAAGGACTTTAGACTGGAAGGATTGGATGCGCTTGATGTTAGAAAATTTTGCTGATCCCCACAGTTCTAGTCCGTAAGTCCAAATAGGTTTCAGTATTGTCTTGTAGATCAGTAGCTTGTTTTCAATGGAAAGTTTAGATTTTCTGCTTAGTAGTCGGTATAGTTGGCCGTATCGTCGGTTGAGTTCTTGTCTTTTGAGTCTAGTATGCGGGTTCCAAGTTAGTCTTCGGTCTAAATGAAAGCCAAGATACCGGACTGTGTCTGAATAAGGAAGCTGGATGGAATTAAAGAGTACTGGTGGACAGGAATTGCGTCGGAGTGTAAAAGTAATGTGTTGGCATTTAGATTCATTAACTTTAATGCGCCAGTTATTACACCAGTGCTCAATCAAGGTGAGATGACTTTGGAGATTTAAGGATGCTATTTCGGGATCAGAGTTGGATGATAAGATTGCGGTGTCGTCAGCGAATGTTGCAAGAAAAGTATCGGGATGAACAGGGATGTCAGCAGTAAAGAGGATGTAAAGCACGGGACCCAAGACGCTGCCTTGGGGAACACCGGCTTTAACGGAGTAGATATTGGAAAATTCTGTTCCACAGCGAACTCGAAAGGAGCGGTCAGAGAGGTAGGATCGGAGGACTAGGTACAAGGACTGAGGTAAATGGATTTTAAGCTTGGAGAGCAGTCCGGAGTGCCATACCCGGTCAAATGCCTGTGCAATGTCCAGAAAGGCACCCGAACAGTATTCCTTGTTTTCTAGGGCTGAGGAAATATGATCAACACTCGGAGTCCTTGTTGAACAGTAGAATGTTGAGAGCGAAAACCAAACTGATGGGAAGGGATATTTTGGGATTCTATAATGGGTAGGATTCGTTTCAAAAGGATCTTTTCAAAAATTTTTGAAAGGATTGGGAGTAGGCTGATTGGTCTATAGGATGTTGAGCTATTGAGAGGTTTTCCTGGTTTTGGGAAAAGGATAATAGTGGAGTGTTTCCATAACAGAGGGAAGTGGGTGGTGCGTAGGATACAATTGTAGATATATGTAAGGAATATGACTGCTTTGGATGGAAGTTGTCGAAGGATTTGAGGTGTAAGGAGATCATGTCCAGGAGCTTTACGGAGGATTAGTTTTTTTAATTGAAATTTTACTTCGGAAGGATGAATAGCTTTTGGGGGCAAGGAAAGTGGGATTGGTGATGTAAGGAGTTCTTCTACTGTTACGGTGTGGGCAGGATGGGATTCCGGATGTGAAATAAATGTATTGGATAGGTGAATGGCGAACTCCTCAGCTTTATCTTCGTCAGATGCTGCCCAGGAGCCATCACCTCGTCGGAGAGGATGGGAAATGCGGTGAGGATTTAGGATTTTTGTTGTGGTTTTCCAAAGGGAATTGTCGCGAGAAGAGAGGGAGGATAGGTAGGAGTTGAAGGATTGTGATCTGAAGGTGGCTAATTCCAGTTTTAATTGTTTGCAGTAGTAATTATAGGAGCAGCGGTCGGTAGGATGTCGGGTACGTTGCCATAATAATCTGGCACGGCGTTTGGTGCGGATTAGGTTAAGGAGGTGTTGGGGTAGAATGGTCTTTATAGGAATTCTGGAGGAGTCTTTTGGAAAGGAGGCAGTCCAGGCGGCTTGTTGGATTGTGGTAGTAAAGGAATTTACGGCACTATCAAGGTCATCGGGAGTTTTGAGGGATATGTTGAGATCAATATTATCGGAGATTATTTGGCGGAAAAGGTCCCAGTTTACTGGGCCCCTAATGAATGACGGTGGAGAAGGTTTGGGAACAGGTTCAAGTGAAACATTAAGGATTAGAGGACTATGGTCAGAGGAAAGTTCATTTAGACGTGTAATGGAACAATTGAGGGGACTTAAGCCGCTGTGGATAAAGAAATCAAGAAGATCAGGATTACGGTTGGGATCTGTGGGCCAGTAGGTAGGAGAGTTGGGGGAAAGGAGGTGAAAACGTTGGGAATTGAGTGCAGACAGCAGGGTTCGGCCACGAGAATTCGTGGTTCTGGAACCCCATTGTTGGTGCTTGGCATTTAGGTCTGCACCCAAGATGAAGTGATGTCCTAAGGAGTCGAGGAGAGAACTGAATTGGGCATTGGATATGGATCGGTTAGGAGGGCAATACGCTGATGCAAGAGTGACCGGAAAGGAGAAGGTTTTTATCACGATAGCGGTGGACTGTAGGAAATCATGTATTGGTAATGGGAGTAGTGATGGGAGAGGGATTGGTGTACAATTACAGCAGTACCGGCATGTGCTTTTCCGTCAGGGTGGTCAGTACGATATGTCAGGTATTGTGGTATATTGAAGTGCTGTTTAGTGGTTAGTCGAGTTTCAGTAATTAGTGCCACATCAATGTTCTTGTCAAGTAGTAAAGTAGATAGTTCGTCTGTATGATTTCTAACACCATTCGCATTCCAAAGGAGAATGGATATGGGTTTAGGGATGTGAGTCATTTAAGGATTTTTCAAAGGAGGGATGAGGTGAGATACGAGATTCGTGAGGAGTGATATGAGTGGAGTAACAAGGGATTTGAAATCGGTGAGGAAAGATGCTAACAAACTTGTGAGATCTGTTGCATTTGAAGGAGGAGGAATATGAGGAATTTGTTGTTGGTGGTTAGGTATATTAGGATGAAGAGGATTTTGAGGTTGGGTTTGAGGTTGTTGTTGTGGCAGGGCTTGACATTTATCGGTTAAAGTCTTACCTCTAAGTAGTTGGGAGAATGATACATCATTGTTTACAATTCTGGAAGGCTCTCTCTCTCTTCTTGTTCTTAGTGCTTCATCTTGAATCCGGTTTTTCTGGTGTCTGGTTTTGAGATTCTTGTAAATTTGGCAGCCTTTGTAGTTGGCCGGGTGTCCCTCCAAGCATAGGGCACATACTGCTGGATCTTGTATAGGTTTGGTGCACTCTACAGATTTGTGCTGTTCACCGCACTTCACGCAACGCGGCAGATGGTGGCAATATGTCTTCGTGTGGCCATAGGTCTGACAATTATGGCACTGCACGATGTCTCTCTTGGGATATGGCTTCTCAACTTTCACCATTGTGTAGTATATTCTTGTGATATCATATATTTTTTCGATACCTGGTGATGGCTCCAAGTCCACGAAAAACAATGGTAGTGGGATCCTATTTCGTAATCCTGGCTGCTCCCTGTCCTCCTTCAAAACGTTTGTTACCTGGCGTACATTGAAACCAAGCGTCGTTAGTTCTTCTTTAATAACTTCAGTGGGGGTTGAGGAATGTAAATTTCTTATCACCACTCGTAAAGCTCTTTCCTGCCTCAGCTGGTAAGTGTGAAAATTCGCATTTGTTTCTGATAAGTACTTCACTATTTTTCGGTAGGCTTCTGCAGAATCAGGTGTTATTTGGTGTCATTGGTCCTGTTAAGGCATGAATAACTGCCAGAGCAGATTTTATTTAGTTGGGTGCAGAACATCTGGAAATTTTTTATATTTTTCACAAATATCGGAGGAGGCTTTGGTTCTCTGGGTATTGCTGCAGACTCCATTACTTCTTTGTCATTTTGAAGCACTTGGTAGGGGTTTGGAGTAAAGAAAGGTGATTCTTCAATCGTTTCTTGTGCAGACGTACCTGGTTGGGGCTGAGGTTCTGGTTCTGAAGTGTTCATTTTGGTCACTGGAGGTATTTCTCGTAGGCAGCGACGAGTCCTTTGTTTGGCTGGTGAGCTAACTCCGTCTGACCGAGACCTCTTGGGCACCTTACTGGCCATCACTTGCTGATCATACCGCATATCATAAGAGAAAAAAAATAAATAAAAAAAAAAAAAAAAAAAAATTTTTTTTTTTTTTTTTTTAAAATAACAAAAAAAAAGATGCCAACAGTAAATATCAACTGCTCTGATATACACTTTAACTGTATCACGTGAATAATCAGAGAGATTCCGCTATAAAATTGGTAAGAACTGAGAGAGTGTGTGTGATAAAATTGAAAATATATTATAGCCAACAACCTCTAATTTCCCAAAAAAGTAATGAAAAATA